TTTAATTTAATTCAATTTTATTTTATTTATTTCTTTTCTTTGTCTCTTTCCCGCGCTCTCCCGCGCGGGGCGCCCCGCAGCGCCACCCAGCGCGCACCTAAACCCTAAACCCTAAACCCTAAACCCTAAACCCCAAACCCTAAACCCTAAACCCTGCTCTTCTGCCTATGCTGCCAACCCAGCACGAAGCCCCAAAGGCAGCCAACAAGCTGCATGTAAGAGAGGGTTTAGGCCCCAACAGCCACCCAGAAGCGTTCTAGGGTTTAGGGTTTAGGGTTTAGGGTCCACCTCCTTTTCTTGCTTTTTCAGGCTGCTTTGCTTTGACCCGTGCAAACACGCATGCGTTTTGTACAGCAGCAGCTGCAGCAGCTGCAGCGGCTGCAGCAGCAGCACTTGCCCCTTGTTGCTGCTGCTGCAGCAGCGGCAAGAAGGATTTGCCGCTGTAGCAGGAGCAGCAGCAGCAACTGTTGCAGCATCAGGAGCAGCAGCAGGAGAATAGTGACCAACGGCGGCAGCAGCAGAAGCAGACCCCACAGGAGCATAAGCAGCAGCAGCAGAAGCAGCAGCAACAGCAGCAGCAGCAGCAGCAGAAGCATTCTTAGTAGCAGCAGCAGCAGAAGCTTTGTTACTAGCAGCAGCAGCAGCAATAGCAGCAGCACCAGCTTTTATCTTCAGGCCTCCAGCAAAGAGCCCCAACTGAGAAGGGCACAGCTAGCTAGCTACAGCTAGCTAGCTGCAACTAGCTAGCTATAGCTAGCTAGCTAGCTAGCTGCAGCTAACTGACAAGCCCAGCCAGCTATGGCTAGCTAGCTACAGCGAGTTAGGCATGCCTTGCCAGCTGTAGCTAGCTAGCTAGACTTAGCTAGCCATGGCTAAACAGCTACAGCTAGTTGTGGCTAGCTAGCTAGCTAGCCGTAGCTAACTAGCTAGCTTTGGCTAGCTAGCTCCCTGTAGCCAGCTAGCTACCTGTGGCTAGCTGGCTAGCAGCTAGCCAGCTAGTTTGGGGGCTAGTTAGCGGCAGCTAGCTGTGGCTAGCTACAGCTAGCCACAGCTATCTACGGCGGTACCTTTCGAAAGTTGGGGCGGGGGGCCCTTAGGGTTTATAATACTTTCTTTTTGCTTGTTTTGCCGCTGCTGCTGCTGCTACAATTGCTGCTGCCTTAGCGCTTAAGGCCCTGCTGCTGCTGCGGTGGTGCTGCTCTGCTGCCGCGTTGCTGCTGCGGCTCTGTTGCGCTGCAGCAGCAGCAGCAGGTGCTTCACAGAAACTGAGTGGTGACGTTACCTGGCATTGCCAAACCCTCAACCCTGGATCAGGGTTTAGAGGCTCTTTCGCCAATGTTTTGCAAACCCTAAGTGCTGTTAGCATTTGCATTTGGCTTCGCCTTTTATTTCCAAAAGCAGCAGCAAAAACAAAAGTGGAAGAGAGGTACTTGAAAAGCGCGCAGTGCTGGTGTCTCGGGTGTATCTACACCACAATCACGGGGGAAGGGGGCACAAAGCCCGTCTCCCGGCGGCTTTTCTCGCCGTTTTTTCGCGTCAATATAGATGCAATTAGAAATATAATTATTTAAAACCAAATAAAATGTCAATTAAACGTTTATTTGGCCCGAAGGCTCCGCGGCTCTGCTCGGCGGTGCGAGGAGGCGCACAGCCCCGGCTGGCGGGCCTGCTGCGCACCCCGCTGAGCAGCACTTGCATGCGTTAAACCCTTTTTTAATTGAATAAATGATTATTTTTAATTTTGAAATAAAGAATTCCAAACAAAAATTAAAATTTGCTGCTGCAACTATCAGTCGCGGGGGCGTTGAGTGCCGCGGCGGGCTGGGAGCCGCTCGCCTGCTGCTGCGCAGCTCTTCTAAGTATTTTTACTTCCTTTATTTTTAATTGCTCTTATTAGAAGTCCAAACAACGCGAATTCCAGGGGAAGCAAGCTGCTGCTGCTGCTGCTGCTGCTGGTTGTGCCGCAGCAGCCGCTGCTGCCGCTGCTGCTGCTGCTGCTGCTGCTGCATGCGCGCTGCTAGCGACCGCCTTCTGGGGCCTGCTGCGGCTACAGCTGGTGTGCTGCGTTGGAGCTGCCTTTTTTGTTTTGCTTTGGTTGCTGCGTTTGCTGCTGACGGCTAGTCCTTAGTGCTCGTTGCCTTCTGCTGCTGCTGCTGCTGCTGTTGCTCGCGCTGCAGCAGCAGCCCCCAGCCGCCGTGTGCTGCAGCTGCTGCGCCTATTCCCCTTCACTTTTGTCCTTCTCCCTTTCCTCCTTCTGCAGCAATTTGCGGGGTCTTCGCTGCTGCCAGCAGCTGCAGTGTATCGACAGCAGGCGTCGCCGCTGCTGCTGCTGCTGCTGCTCTGCCGCTGCGCTGCCGCAGCTCCCTGCCAGTGGTGCTTCTTCAAGCAGCAACAGCAGCAGCAGCAGCAGCGCAGCCCCCCAGCTGCTGCTCAGGGTGTAGAAGCGCACCCACCGCCAGCGCCCGGGTGTACGTACGCCTCGAGCAGCAGCAGCAGCGGCAGCAACAGCAGCAGCAGCAACAGTAGAAGCAGCAGCAGCAGCCATCATGCGTAGGGCTTCCGGCGGCGGCCGTCCCGTGCAGCGCACCGCAGCAGGCCCTGCTGCTGCTGCTGCTGCTGGGGGGCCGCAGCAGCAGCAGCAGCGCAGGAGAGGCCCGTCGAGGGAGTCCTCGGGGGAGCAGCAGGAGGGAGCAGCAGCGACCACGATGAGCAGCAGCGAGCAGCAGCAGCAGCAGGAGCAAGAACAGCAGCAGCAGCAGCAGCAGCAGCAGCAAACCACTTCAACCAACAGGGGCCTCAGCAGCAGCATGCAGCCGCCCAAGGGCCCCCGCATGCATGCACATCGCAAAGTCCCTGAGGGTTCTGGGCAGTCTGAATACGACCCTAAGCGTCAGCAGCAAACCCTAAACCCTAAACCCTAAACCCTAATTCGTGGTTTTGCGTCGGAGGCTTTCGGCGCCGCGCCGCTTCCCGTTCTCGCTGCTGCTTGCTCCCGGCGCAGCGCCGCAGCTGGCCCAGGGTTTAGGCTGTAGGGTTTAGGGTTTAGGGTTTAGGGTTTAGGGTTTGTTTGTGGGCTGTGTCTGCAGTTTGGTCAATTGTGCCCGTCAGCAGCAACACAGAAGCTGCTGTTCCTGATGCAGCAGCAGACAAGACTGTTTTGGGGGGCCTCTTTTCTACGCGGAAGCCAAAAGATGCAGGTGCTGCTGCTGCTGCTGCTTCTAGTTTTTGTTGCTGCTGCTTATTTCATTAACTTCGTAGTTCTTCCAGCCTGAAGCAGCAGCAGCAGCAGCAGCAATTGCTCTTGCTGCTGCTGCTGAAGGTAGCAGCGCCGGGCCGCTGATAGTTTCCAAGCAGCAGCAAGAGCAGCAGCAGCAGCAAGAGCAGCAGCAGCAGCAGTTACAACAGTAGAAGCAGCGTTAGCACTACCGTGGGAGTTCGAGAAGTCTTTTTTGCTGCTGCTCCGCTCCACTCCAGCGTCTACTACTGCTGCTGCTGCTGCTGCTTTAGCTGCAATTTTGCTGCTGCTGCTGCTGCTGCTGCTGCTGGGGCGTCATTGCTTCGCTTCTTTCTCCCCTTATGGAATGCACATCAATGAGCAGCTCTTTAAAACCCGAAGGCAGCAAAACAAATAAATAATTAAATTAATTGAATTAATTGAATTAATTAAATAGAATCAATTATTAAAGTTAATTAGATTAATTGCTCTTGTTTGCAGGTGCAGGGATCTCCTCAGGGCTGAAGTCTGTGGGCAAAGGCGTCGCTGTGGGCGCCGCCTCTCTCTTTGTGCTGCCTGCTGTTGGCGCTGCGCAGCAGGCGAGGCTTTTTGCTGCTGCTGCTGCTGCTGCTGCTGCTGCTGGTGCTTTGTTGACGGGTGGAGGGTTTGCTGCTGGTCTTACTGCTGGAGCAGCACGTGCTGCAGCGGCGCTGCGCGGGTCGCTTTTTTCGCCGCCGCGTGCGCGCTGCTGCTGCTGCGTCACCTGCTGCTGCTGCTGCTGCTGCTGCTGCTGCAGGGCGTGGGGGGCTTCTTCAAAGGCATCGGAGCTGGAGTTGTTGCTGCTGTTGCGCTGCCTATTACTGGCATTTGCGTGGCGGGCTATCAGGTGACCCGGGGGCTAATAAACACCCCCGAGGCCATTCACGAGAAGAGCCAGGGCAAGAAGTGGGACAAAAAGGAAAGAGTGAGCAGCAGCAGCAGCAGCAGCAGGAGCGGTGGCCCGGGCTGCAGCTGCGCGCGTGAAAGAGGAGCGCGCGCTGCTGCCTCCCGCAGCAGAAAGAAGCCCTGCAGCTGCTGCTGCGGGCGCGCGGGTCCGCCGCCCCCCACCTGCTGCTGCTGCTGCTGCTGCTGCTGTGTGTTTTCAGGTGTGGAAGCCGAACTGGTACAGCCTGCAGGAGGAGGCGGGGGAGGTGCTGGAGCGGGAGAACCCGCACAAGCGGGAGTGCGGGCCCTGCAGCAGCAGCAGCAGCAGCAGCAGCAGCGCAGCAGCAGCAGCGGGAGAACGGAAAGTGGTGGACACGGCGCTCTACGACGTGCTGGAAGTCCCCCCCGACGCCAGACCCGAAGACATCCGGAGACAGTACTACAGACTTGCGAGGAAGTACCATCCTGACAAAAATCCCGGAGATCCAGATGCGAAGAAGAAGTTTCAACAACTCGGAGAGGCCTACCAAGTGCTGGGCGAGGAGGAGCGCCGCGCCCAGTACGACCTCCACGGCCAAGCTGCAGCACAAGACATGCCCATCATCGACAGCAGTTTGTTCTTCATGATGTTGTTTGGGTCGGAGGCGCTGGAGCCGTACATAGGCAAGCTGAAGATGGCCATGTTCGTGGAAATGCTCGACGCGCCGGGCAGCAAGGTCCGCCGAACTTGAACGCGCCTCCCGCGCGCCGATCCGGCGGCTTCCGCCGCAACTCCGCGGCCTTTTCCAAAATTAATTCATTTGTTTCGACAGTTTGCGCAATTTGGTGCTCCTAATGTTCGGATCCGTTCGAAATTCGCAAAAAACGCCGCACCCGCGCGCACGCCGAGCTGCGCGTACACCCCAGCTGCGCGTACAACCCAGCTGCACATACACCCCAGCTGCACATACACCGGAAACTCGCTCGCAAATCCGAGCGGATCTTCGGATTCAGTTGCTTCCGAATGTCCAGAAGTTGCTTTTGCTTTCAAATTCCGTGGTTTTCTTTTCCCACCTGCACGGTTTATGATCTGGCGCAGCCGAATCGGCTGCTGCTGCCGCTGCTGCTGCTGCTGCTGCTGCTGCTCATGTTGCTGCTGCTGCTCATGTTGCTGCTGCTGCTGCTGCTTGCGGGCGTTCAGGGCGCCCGGGGCGACGACATATCGGAGGAAATGTTTGCTTTTGAACAGAGGAAGCGCGAAGTGCAGCTGGCTGTGCTGCTGCAGCAGCGGCTGCAGCCGTACGTAGACGCCATGCTGGAGGACCCCAGCAACCAGCAGCAGCAGCAGCAAAAGATCGAGGCTTGGAAGCGGGCCATGACGGAAGAAGCAAAGAACTTGTGTCTGGTGGGCAGAGGCTCCATTTAAATAAATTAAAATACTTTTACTTTTTTCCACTTTATTTATTTCCTTTTCCTCTTTCTTCCCGCCGCCTTGGCTTCCCAGCGTGCTCTCTGCTTGTCTGCGGACAACCGGCGTTCCAGCAGCAGCAAATGTGCAGCGGCAACAGCCGCAGCAGCAGCAGCAGCTGTTGCTGCTGCTGCTGCTTGCGCGTTTTGTTTTTCTGTCTAATTTTCTGGGCGAGGGGTTAGGGCTGCGGTCAATTAATTATTTATTTAATTTGAATAAATGAAAAGTTTTTTGTCGAGTTTTGGTGCTGCTGGGCTTGCTGCTGCGCTGCATGCTGGGATCTGAGCTGCAGCAGCAGCAGCTCCATTTTTAGTTGTTTTGGTTTTGCATGCGCAGCTGTGCTGCTGCCCAGCAACAGCCGCAGCCTCTGCACTTGCTGCTGCTGCTGTTGCTGCTGCTGCTGCTGCTTTGCAAGTTTCCGACCCCGGGCTGCATTTGCTGCCGGTTTTATTTTGATTATTTAAATTATTTGATTAATTTTAATTAATTTTAAATAGTTAATTAATTTAAATTAATTATTTGTGCTGCAGTCGTCGTTTGGAGATGCTATTCTTGAAGCGATCGCCTGGACTTACGAGAACTACGCGACGCAGTACTTGGGAAAGCTCGACACCTTCTTGGGTTTGGGAGGCCGGTGGGTTTTTTGTTTTATTTATTTATTTTTGTTTTTAATTCGCAATTTAATTATTTATTTCTTTTTATACATTTGAATTGCCTCAATTTGATCCAATTTCTTCGATTCGCCTCCAAATCCACCCCCCAGCCTCGGCAGTTTCTGCAATTCAACTTTAGAGTAATCCTTGTTGTATTTCGCTTTCTCGCGGACTTTTTTGTTTATCTGTTTTTTATTTTTAAAATAAAATGTTTTTTGTTGTATTAAAAACAAAAGAATTTAAATTTGAACTCTCTTTTTCAAAATTCAGATTCCCGAGTCGCCACTTTCTGCGGTGTCTGTGCAACTTCCGCGGCTGCAGATTTCGCCGCTTTCTGTCTGCCATTCATTTCCTGAAAAGTTTAATTTCTTTTGCACAGTTGCGTTTTATTTGTTTAATTGTAACGATTTAAGTTTTTTATTTATTTGTTTCTTTTATTTCCACTTCGGTAGTCCTCTGTGTTTAACTCTCCGTGGCTTCTGCAAATTCCAATTCAACTTTTTGCCCAAGTGCATTTCCGCCTCGTTTGTGTTCTTTCGGCTGCCTTTCTGTTGCTGCTGCTCATTATTGAACATTTCTCTTTTTGAAAACTTCTTTTTTTGTTCTTCTTGAAAACTTTTTATTCCTTGCTGCTCCTTGAATCCGCCCCAAGTCCTTTTTCTTCCCAGCAACAAACGCAGCAGCAGCAGCAGCAGCAACGGACGCACTAGCAGCAGCAGCAGCGGCAGCAGCAGCAGCAGTTGTGTGTGGATGTGCGCAGGTACGCGAAGATGCAGGCGCAGAGTCGGTCTGTGGGTAACAGCTGGCGCACAGCTTCTGTGGCTCTGCGTGCTGCTGTTGCTGCTCGGCAGCTGCAGCAGCGGGAACAGAAAAGAGCAAAGAAGCAAGAAAAAGCAAAGAAGAAAGCTAAAGATGGAGAAGCGCCCCCGGAGGCGGGCCCCACAGCTGAAGACGTGGGCCTTTCTCCAGTTTGCTGCAGCAATTTCCTCTTGCTGCAGCTGCAGCATGCACTGCTGCAGCAGCAGCGGCTGCAGCGGCTGCATGCAGCAACTGCAGCAGCAGCGGCAGCACCTCCCGCAGCTGCTGCTCTGCACGGGCAGCGCCAAAGCCCGCACCTAGCTAGTTGGGGTTTAGGGTTTAGGGTTTAGGGTTTAGGGTTTGCGTCGCAGATAAAGCAATTTGAGGAAACCCTTCCTCTGATTTTGGAAACCATGCTCAGCATTTGCCTGATGGACATCGAGACCACTGTCAGGGCTGCTGCCAAAAAGGTGAAATAAATTAAAATAAATAAATAATAAATAAATAAATATATAAATAAAATAAATAAAAATAACCTCAGGTATTCGCGCATGTGGGTGGCTGAGTCTTGGCAGCAAGGAGCGTCGTTTGCTCGTTGCTGCCGCATTTGCTGTTGCTGCTGCTGCAGTTGCTGCTGCTGCTTGCTTCGCTGCTGCTGCTGCGTCTGCTTCTTGACTCGCTGCTGCTGCGCGTGCTGCTTGCCGTGCTGCTGCTGCCTTAACCCCTGCTGCTGCCGCTGCTGCTGCAGCCTGCGCCCCTCACCCACCGCTCACCGCCGCTGCCGCTGCTGCTGCTGCTGCTGCTGCTGCTGCTGCTGCGCAGGTGCTGAAGGACATGAGCGTGTCTGTGGAAGTGCGGCGGCTGCGGGCGGAGGCCCTCGTGGCTCTGGGGCGGCTCATTCAGCAGGAAGCAGAAGCATTTAAGGAGCAGCACAAAAACGAGAAAGTGGACCCCCTCAGGCGCATGGAAGACGCCCTCATCAAGTAAACCCTAAACCCTAAACCCTAAACCCTACGCCCTAAGCCCTGCGCACGCCCGCGCGCGTGGTGCTGGCGCGGCTGCGGCGGCTGGGGCTGCTCTGCAGCTGCTGCTGCGGCTGGTTTCGTGCTGCTGCTGCTGCGGTGGCACATTAGCTGCTGCTGCTGCTCACTGCTGCTGCTGCTGCTGCTGCTGCTGCTGCTCAGGGCTGCTCAGAAGGCAGACGAGGAACGCTACAAAAGGGAAGGAGATCATACAGGGCCCCCACCTCCAGCAGGAGCAGCAGCAGCAGCAGCAGCAGCAGCAGCAGATGCCCCGCAGCAGCAAGCGACTTCTCCTAGGGGCACTCCTGGTTTTCTGTAGTGTGGGGTTTAGGTTTTAGGGTTTTGCGTCGCGTTTGATACCCCAGCAATTGCTGCCAAACCCTAAACCCTCGAGGGTTTAGGGTTTGCGCGCACTGCAGCAGCTCGGTGTATAGTGCGCCCTGCGCGCCCCAGCTGTTTGCATTTGCTGCTTCTGCTGCTGTGGAAGCCAGCAGCCACGGGGGCAGCCGGAAGCAGCAGCAGCAGCGGCAGCAGCAGCAGCAGCGGCAGCAGCAGCAGAGCAGCAGCAGCAGCAGCGGCAGCAATAGCGTCACAGTTGGCAGCGCGCGACAGATACCCGCAGCAGCGCACAAACTGCAGTCAAACAGCAGCAGCAGCAGCAGCAGCTCCAGCCCGAGCAGCTGCAGCAGCAGCAGCAGCAGCAGAGGGTGGAGTGGCCCCGCTGTTTTGTTGCTGTTGCTTTCAACTTGAACAATCGATGAGGCAGCGTTTGCTACCCTGCTGCTTTAGCTGCAATGTTTGAGCCCCGTGCTGCTGCTGCTGCTGCAGTTGCTGCTGGGGCTGTCGCAGAGAAACAGCAGCAGCAGCTGCTGCTGCTGCTGCTGCTGCTGCAGCCTCTAGATCGTGAGGTTCTCCGTTCGAGCAGTGAGACGGTACTTTTCTCTATGTGTGCGGATGTGTCATAAAGTGCAGCTGCTGCTGCAGCTGCAGCTGGCTTGCTGCTGTTCGTGCTGCTGCTGCTTTCAATTTTTTGTTGTCGCTGCTGCTACTGGCGTTTTGTAGTTGCGAGCGTGTTAGTTACCAGAAGCCGCTGCATCTGTTGCTGCTGCATTTGCTGCTGCTGCATCTGCTGCTGCAGCAGCTGGTCCCGTCTAGTGTTTGTTATTCCGGGACCGTGGACAAATAGAAGAGGATTTTAGACAGCAGCAGCTGCCTCTGCAGACGGAAGGGGGCCCCACACTACAGCAGCAGCTGCTACTGCAGCTGCTACTGCAGCAGCAGCAGCTGCTGCTCCTCTGCTGCACGCGGAGGAGCAGCAGCAGCAGCTGCTGCTGCTGCTCTGCTGCACATTTCCTTGCTGCTCCCTCCGTGGCTGGCAGCAGGAGGGCTCTCCCTCAAGCTAAGTAGAAGAGCCTCAGGTTTGTTTGCACTTGGAATTAAATTTAAATTCTTTTACGTTTTATTTATACTTTTATAAGTCTAATTGGTATTACAAGTTTTGAATTTGTGATTTGAAGGTTCGAAAGATTTTTGCGCATTTTCGAGTGTAGGTACACCTGCGCACGCGAACGGGGTGTACGCACAGCTGAGGGGCAAATCCTTTGAAACGCATTTCAGACTTTTATTCTTTTGAAATCATTTTTATATTTTTGAAATCATTTAAATGACAAATGAATATAAACATCGAAAAAGGGTAAAAAGGCAAAAAAACCTAAAATAGAAAAAAGGTATTTACAAAAAGCCAAAAGGATAAAAACATTTGAAGGGCAAAAGGAGCAAAATAAAATCAACTTAAATACACTTCCTGCAAACTCCACAAATGAACTATTTGCTGCTCATCTTGAGGGTTTAAGGGATCTAAGATCCCCAAAAACACTTTTAAGTCCTTTATTATCTAGAATTACGAAGTATCTATTGCTGCTGCAGGTAGGGGCCCCCTGGGGGCCCCCAGGGGACCCCAAGGGGCCCCTTGGAAGCCCTTAGGGCCTAGGGGCAGCTGTAGCAGCAGAAGGGAGAACAGCTGCTGCAGCAGCTCTAGAGTTCTTGAGGGGCCTCCCCTGCTGGTGTGCTGAAGCAGCAGCAGCAGCAGCAAACGGGAGGCAGCAGCAGCAGCAGCTAACGAGCGGCACCAGCAACAGCACAGGAGAGGCACAAGCAGCAGCAAAAGACACACACGGCAGCAGCAGGGGACAGACGCAGCTGCAGCAGCGCAGAGGCAGCAGCACCTGCTGCGGCTCCTGAAAATAACGGTAGCAGTGCAGACAGCAGCAGCAGCAGCAGCAGCAGCTGAAGCAGCAGCAGCAGAGGCAGCAGCAGGAGAGACGGAAAGCAGAAACAGCAAATAAATAGCCTTAGGGCAAATTGCAGAGCAAAACCAGGGACAGCAAAGAACAAACTTGCTGCCTCCTGGAGGCATAGTTTTGCTGCAGCAGCAGCTGCTGCAACTTCTGCTGCTGCTGCTGCAGCAGGCGGGCAGCAGCAGCGGAAGAGCGAGAAGGCAGCACTCTGGGGGGGTCGGAGGGTCACTTAAAAGGGTTAGAGGAATTAAAAAGTAAAATGGAATAAAAAAGAATAAAAAGAAACAAAAAAAGAAGAGAAAAGAGAAAAACTGAAAAAGAAGAGAAGAGCCGCTGCTGCAGCAGTAGACGGTGGGCGGAGGCTGCTGCTGCTGCAGTGGGGGGCAGCAGAGCTGCTGCGGGGAATCTTTTTTGCTTTTCAAGCAAAGAAGAAATAAAAATAAATAAATAAAAGCAGTTAAAACAAAAAGATGGAAATTACGAGGCGGCGTTGAGGTCCCGCGGCCTCCGCTGCTGCAGCGCCCGACGCCGTTGCTGCTGCTGCTGCTGCGCAGCCACGCGCGCTGCGCAGCTAGAGTTTAGTCCATTTTGGAACAGTTTAGTTTAAATAAATGCAAATTAACTGTTCTGTTTCTCGCGGATTTCGAAAAGCTGCGCTGGGGTGTACGTACACCGCAGCCAGGCTCTCGCCACCAGCAGCCACCGGCTCACCCCACACCCCTCACTTCATTTCTTTCTTTTCTTTCCTTTTCTTTTCTTCTCCGGAGTTTCTTCAGCAATGAGAGGGCCTTTTCTTTTGGACTTAACGTAGCTACACCCCGCCTGCTGCGTAGTTTGCTGCTCCTTTCCACGGCCTCGAGGGGAAGAGCAGCGCGCAGCGGCGGCAGCAGCAGCAGCAGCAGCAGCGGGCCCCCGCCGCTCTTCCTCGCCAAGATCGGGCTCCGCGGAACAGCAGCAACACTCGCCGCCTCACCCTCGCGGCCTGCAGCTCAGCAGCGGCAGCACAAGCAGCAGCAGCAGCAGCAGCTCCAGCCCGACTGCCTGGCGAAGCAGCAACCCGTCGCCAGCCGCAGCAGCAGCAGCAGCAGCAGCAGCACCTGCAGCAGCTGCCGAAACGGGTTCGTTCTGGCCGTATGCAGCACAGCCCGACTTGCTGCCGCAGTTTTATCTTTTGCTTCTTTTCTTCGGAGCCACCCCCTCTTCCGTTCTACCGCTTGGCAGTAGCAGCAGCAGCAGCAGCAGCAGCCAGCGTAGGCACTCTCAGGATCCGAAAGAACAACTCCAGACGCAGCAGCAGCAGCAGCCGCAGCAGCAGCAGCAGCAGCAGCGATCCATGGCAGGCTAATTAGGCCCTGAGGGAGGCAGCAGCGAGATGGAGGGGCCCGCGGCGGCCGCCGTTGCTGCTGAGACCCCAGCCGCAGCAACCCAGCAGCAGCAGCAGCAGGAGCTACAGCAGCAGCAGCAGCAGCAAAAGGCCCCACAGCAGCAGCAGCAGCAGAGCGAGGGCAGCCGCAACTCCAAGGCAGTTTTCTCCCTAAAGAAGCCGACGCTCCTCCCCAAGTCTCTTCACTACCGGCCGCAGACACAAGTACGTGACGCTTTGCTGCTGCTGCTGCAGTTGCTGCTGCCGCTGCTGCTGTTGCTGCTGCTGCAGTAGGGGACGCGGCAGCAGCACTTGCGGTGTCTGTACACTCAGGAGTGGCGTGTGAAGTACCGCTGCGGCGGGGCAGTCCACTGCAAGACCTTCTCAGCGCAGGTGCCGTTTGCTGCTGCTGCTGTTGCTGCTGCTACTGCTGCTGTGGATGGGTGTCCTCCTCGCGTTCTGTTCCTGTGGATTCCTTTTCTTAGTTCGCTTTGTGTGCTGCATCAACACAGCAGCTGCATCAGCTGCTGCTGCTGCTGCTGCTGCTGCCGCTTTGTGGGTACCTCTATTTCACTGCTGCTCTTCTGCTCTTCAGTGCCACATTGCTGCTGCTGCTGCAGCAGCAGCAGCAGTGCCCGCACGTGGCTCTGCGTGCCTTTGCGTGTACTGTTTGTCGCGCCCCCGCTGCTGCTGCTGCGGCTGCTGAAGTTCGCGCTTGCTCCTGCTTGCTGCTCGCCCCTACTTGCTGCTGCTGCTGCTGCTGCTGCTGCAGACGTACGGCGTGGAGACAGCGCATGCACTGGCCCTCTGGTACCGGCAGCGAGTTGCTGCTGAAGGTTGTGTCCCTTCGGAGGCGCAGATAAGAGAGACTTTGCTGCAGCTGACGGAGGCAGCAGCCAAGCAGCAGAAGCCTGCTGCAGCAGCAGCAGCAGCAGGGGCAGCAGCAGCAGCAGCAGCAGGGGCGGAAGAGGAGGCGGGGAAAGGCGCGAAGGAGCTCGCGCAGCAGCAGCAGCAGCCGGTGAAGGACGCAGCGGCTGCTGCTGCTGCAGCAAATGCAGCAGCGCTGTCTTCTGCGGTTGTGGCTGCTGCTACTGTGGCTGCTGCTGCAGCAACGGGAAGTGCAGCAGCAGCAGCAGCAACGCCCAGACTGAAAGCGGCAGATGTGCTGCTAGATGCATGTGATGATGCTCTTGACTTGGGACCTCCAATGAAGGGACGCAGCAAGCTGCAGCAGCAGCAGCAGCTGCAGCAAAGTGCGGGCAAGCTGCAGCGGCCCCACACAGCAGCAGCTACTGCAGCAGCAGCAGCAGGTGGCGCATGCGCTTCGGAGGCGGGAGAAGCAGCATGCAAGCCAAAGATTGCTGCTGCTGCAGTGCCGTCTGCTGCTGCTGCTGCTGCACCAGCTGCGCAGCTGCTGCAGTCTGCAGTGGACGCATTGGAGTCCAAGCCAATTCCGCCGCAGCAGCAGCAGCAGCAGCAGGGAGACGCCCCGGAAGCCACAGCAGCACCAGCAGCAGCACCAGCGCCTGTGTCCAGCAGCAATACAGTGGCAGAGGCAGCAATAACAGCACCAGCTGCTGCTGCTGCCCCGGCAGACCTTGTAGAGGAGCCGGCGGAGCAGCAGCAGGAGCAGCAGCAGCAGGAGCAGCAGCGGGAGCAACAGCAGGAGCAGCAGCAGCTGCAACGGGTGCTGCTGCGACGCAGCAGCAGGCCACCGCGGCCGTCTCCGTCTGCTGCAGCAGCAGCAAATGTCAGCTGCAGCAGCCCCC